CTTCATGCCTCTATCTTTCCTTTTGAGCCGTGCCCCTATCCTTCCTCCTGAGCTATGCCCCTATCCTTCCTCCTGAGCCGTGCCCCTATCCTTCCCCCTGAGCCGAGCCCCTAGCCCCTGAGGACATTCCTAGTGACATGCCCACTATCACGTGACGCCGCACTAAGGCATCACGTGCTGACCTGAGGCTGTGGCCTAGGTCTCTATGGGTTCTACCCCATGACATCACCCCCCCTTTCCGTCGTTCATACTCATCTAGGGCGACAGTATTCTCTAGAGCGGAAGCTAGCTCCTATAATAGTCTTAAGTAACCTTTCTATTTAACTTTGTATTACTTTTAATACAGACTACTCATCTCCTAAGGCCTATAGACTGATAGTCTTGCTTAACATAATAGGTAAGACGCTAAAGTCTATTATAGCGTAATGAATTACCTTCTTAACTAAGTAATATAATGCTCTTCTAGAGACACAGATAAGAGTAAGGGGCAACCGCTTAACTGAGGCAGCACTAGAGCTCTTTACTGAATAGATATATAAGTCTATAAAGCCTATTTTATTAGCCCTTAGCTGTATAGTAAGAGTGACGGTTAATCCACAATCTGAGAAAGCATAAGATCCCTCCTGTGATCACTAAATGGGTAGTAAGCTTTCTGTCAAACAGGGCTTCTACGCTCTCTATAAGTGACAAGACGTCTGAGAGATTTGAGGTCTGTACAGGGATCTCTTAGGGCTTCTTAGTCTCGCCTATTCTGTACCTCTTCTATAACGCAAATCTATTAGATATTACTAATTATCAAAGAATTAAGATAAGCGCTTTTAACTTTATTAATAATATTAATATATTTGTGTTTAGTTAAAATACAGAGGAGAACTATAAATGCCTAGAATAATTATATAATAAGTGTTTACATTAGGCCTACTATTATAATGTTATCTTTATGCTATAAAAGTATAAGCTGATTTACCTTACAAAAAATCTAAAAAAGTTTAATATAAAAGAAATAATTAATATAGCTAGCATCTTAATAATAATAAAAATAGATATTAGAGTGCTAGGACTTCAAATTAATACTCAACTAAAATAAGGCTCTTATATTAAAAAAGTACTTTAAAAGATAACTTAATAGATGCTTATGCTTATAACTTTATTAACTTCTATATAAGGCGCTTTCATTAAAAAAGCACTTTAAAAGATAACTTAATAGATGCTTATGCGCTTACGGCTCTATCAACTTCCATATAGGGCGCTTCCCTCTTACACGTAAGACACATTTATAACGCTGTCATCAAACCAGTAATGACTTACGCATTAGCTATTTAGCATCTTCCTAACAAGTTACAAGACACAAAATCAAATACTGCTAAACTCTCGCCTATCTAGAACAGATGCTTATGCGCAATAGCTAGAGCCTATAAGGCCACGCCTATCCTGGTCCTTAAAGCAAAGACTTATTTCTTGCCTCTTTCGTTATTACTTAATAATATCTAGATAGACTTTTGTTACAGACTTATAATTATAAGCATAAGGCAACTTATTTATAAAAGCTGTCTCTAGATTATTAAGAAGCTTGACTTATAATAAGGACGTCTCTATTATACTATTATAATACTAGGTATTAGAAAGCATAGCTAGTATAAATAATGTCTTCTTAAGCTTAATATAAAGATAAAGCTAAACTAAGCTTTAGAACACTTTTTATTATAGAAAAAACCCTTATAAAAAGTAATTATATTGCTTATAAAAGTGTAATAATAATGCTAGTTTTATTACTAAATAGTTAGAGCATCTTAATTAAAGAACTAGTAATTATTATAAAGTGCTTACTTAGTAGTACTCTAGTAAGCCTTAAGCCTTACTTAGAATAAAGAAATTAGTAAGCAAAAATTAAGGATATATTAAGGCCTAGCTAAGGCATAAAGCTCTTTTACTATATAGCTAAGGACTAACAAAATAGGCTTTATAGACTTCCTCTTTAAATAGAACGTTCTAGACATCCCCTTATTATTCTGCAGATATAATTAAAGAAGACAGACTACTTAATATGTGGT